GGGGGGGGAGGGGGGGTACGCGGATGGTATATGTTCATGGACATGCCGCGCGGGAATCGTCTTGCCTAACGCATGTGTCTTGCCGCTCGCACCGACGGCGCCCGAACATACGCTTAAGAGCCTCGAGTTGACCGAGCATGACGTTCTCAGTCCCCTTTGAGCGCTATTTACTTCAGCGGCTTCTAATATATACCATACAGTGTGGGGCTCCTATATTATAGGTTATTGTGTGGGTTATTAACCGGGCTCGCTCACAATGGTACAACTCAAGGTATTTTGTTTGTTCGAGGCTAAGACAAGCTGTAGATGGGCTTTGGAACAACCGCCGGCGTACAGGTGCACTGCGGTGGCACACCCTTGCTGTGGTCACAGCCCAAAAAATTGTGCGTTCTGCCGTACCACGCATTGCTTCCCTGTGAAAAGAGAAGTTGATTTTTTTTTCGGCGCTTGTGCTTTGAAGAAACGCGAAAACTTCTCGTTATGTTTGGGCAGGTATGATATATTTTTTTTAGTTTTCGAGGCTCTACTCAATTTCTTAGCTGCCAAGTTCTAAAGTGCAGACTCTGGCTGTAGGACACGAGTCAACAGGAGAGCTAGGTGTCGTCACGCTCGAGGAAAAGCAGGGGGCAGGTTTGTTGAGTAGACATATTGAGCACGACGAGTTGTATTGCAACAAGTCGAATTGCTTGCCGCGTAGAGGTATTATGTCGGAATAAAACAAGAAGGTATTTTCTCGCGCGCGACATTAGTAATAAACGAATTGTGGTGCTTGTATGATACTTGTAGAAGGGCGTTCCCCGGTTTTGAACCGCGAGGATAAACCCCCCCCCTTATTCCCAATCTCCGGGGGCCCGTTACGTCGTTTTTCTAGTAGGGGTTGGTGTGTACGTCATCAAAAAATATGTTTCATCGTCTTTTCGTCTCCTACAGCCACCGTTTGTGTGTGTGTGTGTGTTTTATGAGGATCGACCGCGCTAGGTAACTCGCTAGCCAACGAAGGGACGTCGGTCTCAGTTTGAAACCACAAACTCCTTCTAAAATCTTCGAAGTTCTTGTACAGGTTACCGTGATCATCTGGGATCCCGTGAGGGGGCGCGTCATCGGGCAGGCTATGCTACTCTACGGAGCAGATACATATGCCGTGTGTAGCAGTAGCAGAAGGAAACTGCACGTGTTTACCATGGCTAAGTGGTATATGTGTCTGTGTGTAACGGCAGGATCCTGGTGACGGACGCGGAGCTGATTCGGAAAATCGCCGACCACCCGGACGTGGACCGGGTTCACGGGGTTCCCACGAAGGAGAAACCGTGGTAAGTCTGTCTACAGTCAGGTGTATGCTTGCGAAATTGTTTCTTCTGATTCACGAAAAGCCTTGGTAAGCCTGTGTCTACGTGAATGCCTGCGAAGTAGTTTTGCTTGTGAAATGATTTTTTGATCCCCGAGAGAAGCCTTGGTATTGTCGTTTCTAAATCACGTTTTTTTTTTGTCTCTGATTGGAAGGGGTGGCCTGCAAGGGAAAAACATTTCAAACCCGCCACCTTCTTTTACGGCTCGTGGAGACATAATTATTCTCAGTGGAAGAAACGGCCTGTTCACGTTTTGTGTGGATCACAACATGCGTCATTTCACGTTTTCCGCTTGTGTGCGGCCAACAAGACACAGAGCGCCGTGTTTCTGGAACTCGAGCAGAAGTTTCATGGGGATGACCACACGCCATTGGCTCGGTTTGTGGATATCGGATGTCGTGGGCCTAAATCCTCCCTCTGACGTGCGTTTTTGACTGGCTACACATGCAGCAGGCACGAAAACCACTATTTTGGCCGAAAGGCAACAAGAAGGCCAGCAGCGCCAAGTGGCAGGGGTTGACCTTTTCGGCTTGTGTGCGGCCAACAATGCATAGAGCGCCCTGAATGTTTGACACCTGCACAGAGGGTCGGCCCATGACCTCACGGTGCTGGCCTGTGTTTGGGCAGCAGACGGTGAAGTTCCTCGTTCTCGCACGATCGGTGTGACCCCCCACCCCCCGATTCTCACAGCGAAATAATCAGCCGATTCGTTGTCAGAAAACGGGCCTATTTTCTAACGGCTTTTTGGCTGTACTTAAAAATATCCGAGCTGTGAGAATGTGGGCCCTAGGAATTTACCATGTTTCTCCGCTTTTGAAGCCCACATGATTTGCTTGGGCTAATAAAATGCCCCCCTCCCTCCATCCAAAGCAGAACAAACGTTAGTTGCATGAGAAAGCGCCTACTGCTGTAGGACTCTGCTGCTTGCAACGTGAGAAGCCCCGGTAGGTCTCTACTTGCGAACAACAAGTTTGATTCACGAGAGAAGTCTTGCAAGTCTCTGTTGCTTGTGATTTGTTCTTTTATTCATGGGGTCCGTACCGCGTACAAGCCTTGGTGCGTCGGTCTGTGCTTGCCTACATTTATTTTTGATGCACGGAGTCCCCACCAANGTTGAAGCAAGTCTCTGTTGCTTGTGATTTGTTCTTTTATTCATGGGGTCCGTACCGCGTACAAGCCTTGGTGCGTCGGTCTGTGCTTGCCTACATTTATTTTTGATGCACGGAGTCCCCACCAAGTCCTTGGCGGGACGCGTCGTGGGCGGTGGTGCTGGCGGTGTGTCGGCCGGTGTGTGTGTTGTGCGTCTGTTAGAAAGTATGCAAAATCTCACAGAAGACTACACGTTCGAGATAATGCCACAGTCGAAAGGGATGTGTAGGAGTCTCCACACAGCAGTGAGCTGGAAGAAAACCGGCTGGAAACTGGGGTCTATTGAAGCCTATACAACACACACTTTTTTCAGCGTTTGTTCGTTTCGGAGTAGTTGCATTGAGGGGTGTTTCTCTGCGATGGCGCCTGTCGTTGTCGCTATTCTTACCGTTGCTGCTTCTGCTGTTCTGGTTGTTGATATGATTGCTATTGGGACGGAAATTGCTCTCGCCACCGACCGCTACTGTCCCCCGCCGCCTGGTTCAAAACAAGGTCGACACACACCTCCTACTCCCAACAACTTGGTTTTGGGGCAGAGAGAGAGACGGGTGTACACGTTCATGCCGCATACAACTAATATCCCCCGCCCCCTGGTCCTAAACAAGGTGGATAAACGCCTACTTTCCAGCGACCCGGTTCATTGACCGGCAGGACGAAATGTTTGTTCCCCTTACGTCGACCTCCGACCCCAACTACGAGCACCGCCGAACCTACATCGAAGAAATGGTCAAGGACGGCGTCGCCGAGGAGGTACGTACGTACGTTTGTATGCATACAGATAGTGCCCGCAGTGAAGAAAAATTCTTTTGAGAAAAAAACGCTCAACTTTCCAAAATTAATAAGAAATAAGGGCTAAGAAACACAGCTCAATCTCGGCAACAACATAAGAAACGCCCCAAGAAGAAACATGATGGTGCGATACCCCCAAGACGTAGGAAACAAGGGATAGCTGGGGGAGCTTATCCAGTATGAAACGTCCCACTGCTGCTCCTTCGGTGCTCCCACCCCCCTACCTAGCTGAAGAGTGCATGCTTTTTTGTAGGGGGGAGAGTGGTACTGCCTCACATCGTGGACAACCACATGGCGTCCGCTGTACGGGTTTGATGGCACTCGCCATCGCCTCTCTTGGAGGCTTGATGACGTGGATTGTCCTCAGAGATCAATAGATAGGCAGAAATGAGAAAATGCGAAGTACTTCCAAGAAAAAAGAGGATCAGGAGGATGCGACAGTCCAAAGGAGTAAGAGATGCTTTTCAAGAAAATGGACGAATTGGGCTGGTCCTTCGACCCAAAAAAAAGGGATTGGGGCTCGACCTGATTTTGACGTTTCTTAGCAGCGGGCGCTATCTGTACGTACTTCTCTTCATTTTTTTGTTTTTTTCCCTCTACGATCACCGCCGCACCTACATCAAAGAGAGGGCCAAGAACCGCGTCGTCTGTTGTTGCTTCGTTTCGTACATGCGTGCCTCTTGATTTATTTTTCAATATTCACAACGAATCCATCTCCATCTACAGAAAAGATTCTATAGGTAGACTGGCAATGGCTTCAGAGAGTCAACGGAAGGCTTACCAATACTTCGAAGATCTCCCAACCAACATTCAGCCATGGCTTCCCCTGTGGGCAACAGACTCAACGAGAAAGTTTGGTGGCCATCTGGTGCATCTCTGTTCATGCTACAGGTCGACGAGGATTTTCGTATGCATACGTACGTACGTGCGTCTCATTGATTTCTTGTTTTGTTTTTTGGCATCGTGCTCGCGTGCGCGTCTTTCGTGCCTCGTGTGTCCCTCGCTGTAGGTCGACGAGGAGGTAAACGTCCGTCCGTCGCTCGTGGGTGTTGTTTTGTTTGTTGCGGTGCGTGCGTGCGTGCGTGCGTCGTGTGTCTTTTCGTGTGCTTCCTCTGTCCTACCGCCGCCGCCGCCGCTGCCGCCGCTGTGATTATCGTCGGGATTAAGGGAGAGAAGATCGCGAATATCTACTCCCCCTCATTGCAGGATCAACTCTGGAAAACATTACCTATCGCTCTTCCGCCCTCCTTCTCTCTTCCCCGCCCCCTCCCTCCGCGGACTTTTCTCCCCCCGCAAAACATTGGCCGGCGAAAACCCAGCATTTCGCTCCGTCCCGGCATCTGTAGGGATGCGAGGGCCATGGTCTAACGACTGCAACGGCATGCGCTTACCTGGATGGGTACCCCCCCCCACAGACAAGCGCCTAAAACACGCTTTTTTGGAACCCCTCCGCCCCCGGCAGGACGTGAAGAAGATCGCGAACCTGATGCACACGGGGGCCCCGCAGGATGAGCTGGAGAGGGCCGTGGTAAACGGAGTCAATCGTCGCTTCTTCGGCCGGGATATTCCCGCCGACATCGTCGAGGTATGTTGTAGGTGTGGCCTACCTCGGATGACTTCATCGAGATGTGACCCAATGACGTCATCGAGGTATGCGGGTGCGAATCGATGACGTCATTGAGGTGTGGAAGTGTGAACCGATGACGTCATCGAGGTAGGTAGGATGGGTGATCCGATGACTTCATCGAGGTATGTAGGTATGAACCGATGACGTCATCCAGAAGGTCGGTGTGAACGGATGACATCATCGAGGTAGGTGGATGTGCCTGGATGACGTCATCGACGTAGGTAGGTGTGACCGGATGACGTTATCGAGGTAGGTAGGTGTGACCGGATGACGTCATCGAGGTATGTAAGTGTGAACTGATGACGTCATCGAGATAGGTAGGTGTTGACGGGATGACGTCATCGAGGTAGGTTGGTGTTAGTTGTTGTTGTTGTTGTTGTTGTTGTTGTTGTTGTTGTTGTTGTTGTTACTGTTATTGCCCTCGGTGTCGTTGTTGCTGTATTCGGTCACAGCACGCCAGGCGAGACTAGCCCTAACCCCCAACCCTAGTTCTTAGTTAGTCTTTGTAGATATTGTTGTCGTCGTTTTGTCATTGTTGCCGCTTTCGATCGCAGCACACCGGTATATCTAGATGTACACAATGTCGCTGTGTCGTCGTTGTTGTTTTCGAGCAGCACGACAGTAGGATTGTTACTCGCGTCGTTGTCGTCATTCCTATTGTTCGATCACAGCACTCCGGCTAGGCTGCTGTAGTTCATGTTGTCTTTGCTGTTAGTTTCCTCGTCTTGCCGTTGCCGTTGCTGCTGTTCGATCGCAGCACGCTAGCAAGACGGCCAACACAATCGGAGACGCGCTCTCGTCCGGGTACTTCCCGGCCCTACGGCACCAGGGGAAGGTGATGGACTTCATCGAGCAGAACAACGAGCTCCACGAGGGCTGTCCCGTCGCGGGTACGAACCTCGTAGAGAGAACAATCCCCTCCCCCCTCGACAACACATCACGGGGACCCCGGAGGCAGGCTGTACGAAAAACACATATACCGTGCGGCGAGTGGGACACATTTTGCTTGTAGCACGAGGGGTTCTTATCGGGGGTACGTCAAGGATAGGGATAAGGGCGAAACATATCATGCCATGTTGGATGTACACGCAAAGGACCAGGATGATTTGTCTGAAACCACGTTGGATATAGAGCGATTCGCCCCCTTCATTTTTTAAGGCGCGTCTGGATGTACGTAAAAGTATAGGGATGATCATCAACTGCATCGAATGTACACTACTGCTGTAAGGGATAAGGATGATGCCATTGCCGTGTTGGATGCACAGCGAGTCGTCGCCCGGGTTACGAGTGTGAGATAAGCCCACTTGCTCCCGGCTTCGAGAAATGTATCATTGTTTTCTCACGTACGGCATGCAGTGTCCTTTCTCCGGGGTCCTCGTGATGCGTTGTACGGGGTCCTCGTTCCTCACTACCTACTTAACTGACACAAGATAACACACCCCCTGGACCGATTTTCAAATCTCGATTTCTCAACAACAGAAAGAGTCACAGCGCCGAAAACGGTGGCGTTGAAGCCGTCTCGTCGATAGCTTTCCGGAAATGTATTGTTTCATTTATGCATCCTCTTCGTCGTGGCGTAATCGAGCTTCGAAAATTGGTCCAGGGGGTGTGTTATCTTATGTCATAAACGGTACTCTTGTGTCCCCGTAATGTGCTGTTGGGGTTGTTGCGTGGGTAGGTGGGTGGCCATTCCTCTCGTTGCTTGCCACCACATCGGGATGTTTCTCCTCCGCCATACATGAGGATCTTTGATTTGAGACGGACAATAACCTCCCTAAGAGTGGTCCCCCGTGACTCTCTGCAGTTTGTTCTTTCTTGTTTTTTGTCGTGACTTCAAATCAGCGCTCCTCACGGCACTTGTGCCGTTTACTCCAACCCGTGGTCGCACAGTGGGGTTGCTCTTTCTGAGGTTCCCTACCCGCCCCTCCTCCTGCGGTGCTCTTCCTTCTATTTTTAATGCAAAAGAGTACAGCACTCTCTTCCCTCTTGTGTACAAACGAACTTGCTACAATACCTCGCATGTATGCTGTATGATTACAGATTTCTCCCGCCACATCGTACCCACATGTGCACGGATACAGATTTCTCCCACCACGTCGGGGGCGGGCGGGATGACCTCCCTTTTTGGTCCCCGTGATGTGTTGTCCAGGGTGGGGGGTCTATGTTCCTCCCTACGTACCCGATGCATCCCACCGCATTTTTCTTGCTATGTGCACAGATTTCTTCCCCCCCCACGTATGAGGGTGTTTGCTTAGTCGGATATACCCTCCCCGACATGTTCGCAGATTTCTCCCACCACATCGGGGCGGCGGCGCAGCTGCTGACCCCGTCTTGCCAGTACCTCCACAAGGAGAAGGACCGCTCCAGGACCATCCTAGACATATTCACGCAGGTAGGTGATAAATGAATGAACGGCAACCGACCCCAAAGGCCCTTGGCTTCAGCTTCATGGCGAACCGCTGCCCTTGTTGGCTTTGTTGTTGATTTTGGTGTTGGTGATCGTTGTTGTTGCGGTTGGTGGTGGTGTTGGATGGGGGTAAAACGACAAGCTGGCGATGAGTTCAGAGCTTTACCTGACCTACATGTACTTGCGTGTCTCGTTGTTTGTGATTCTCTGTTGGCCCCGCCCCCGCCGTCGGACGGAGTAGAACGAGAAGTCTGCAAATAACTCATGTATTTCTGACCGACATGTCATCATGATGATGATGCCAATACACAACCAGCGCTGGTTGATGATGAGGTCGTTTGCTTCGTGCAGGAGGTTCACGCCACCGCAGTAGCTTGATGTGGGTCATTGCTTGGTCATCTCACCACGTCGCTGCGTCTGTCCATAGGACACATGCCGGTAACAACGCACGTGATGTGTGTGTGTGTGTGCTGCCGGCGCGCGCGTTGGTTCTCAGTACGGACTTGCAGGTTTCATTGGCTTTGTTTCNTCCCTCCGTTGGATGTTGGAGCAGAGCGACATGCCGATGACCGTCGCCACCCCGCGGATCGCCATCAAGGACAGCACCCTCGGGGGCCTGCTGAAAAAGCCTGCCAAGGCGAAATGGGTGAGTGTGGCGAGAGGGAAAGGAAGGGAAGAGAAAGGCGGGGGGGGAGGGGGAGAGTGGAGAGAGGGAGATAGAAAGAGACAGAGAGGGGGAGAGGGAGAGAGGCAGGGGGAGAGGGACATGAAGAGAAATAGCACCGTACCTTACCACAAGACACCGCTCGGTACTGGTGGTGATACTCCCTTCTTGTATTGTTTCAATAGCATGTTTTGGACTCGAACCGTGTGTCGTGTTTGGTGCACCTTATTTTTTGTCGGGTTTTCTGCCGCTCTTGTTGTTGTTGTTGTTGTTGTTGTTGTTGTTGTTGTTGTTGTCGACGTTTGTGTCTCCGAGATTTGCCTTGGTCATTCTCTCAACATGCACATGACCTTCCCCGGCGGAGGCCCTTTGTCCCAAACAAGGCTCGACGTAAAAAGAAATTACTGATGTTTTATCCCGAGTGTTACGACTGACGTCGTTTCGTTGGTCAACCGGCTAGTGTGGCTCGATGGATGCTCATTCAACAACAAACACACACGCACGCACGCATGCACGCGCACGTCGCCATCCTCCCGCAGACGGTTTTCATCCTGAACATCCGGCAGGCCGCCGCCGAGACTAAGGACTCCCTGTTCACCTTCGGCGCTGGCGTGGACAAGAGGCAGTGCGCCTTCCGCTTCGCCTTCCAGAAGCTCATGGCCGACCTGCAGGTGTGGCAGCTACTGCTCTTGCTGTTCCTGCATGTGTTTTCAAAACAGAACACGGTACTGAATATATCAAGTGTATCTTTCGTCTTGCTACTGCAGACTGTTGAGTCTCTCCTTCGCTCGCAAATTCAAAACGTGTCGTGTGTATGTGTGTAGGATACCTCGCAACAATCGAGGGACCAATAGCAAGTACAGACGACACATGAGCGATCTTGAGATGGGGTGGAACTACTCTGCAGTACCTAAATGAATTTTCGAACGGATTAGCGTCACTGCATCGATGAATGCGTTATTTTCACATCTGCTATAGTCTCTTGTTTCTCCCGCCTTAAAACACGTGCCATCTGTACATAGCACCCCGACAACATATCGAAAATTCAACCAAGCCAGATCGTAAGGATGACACATGAGCGACTTACGGGTGGGCGCTCTAGATTGCGCCCGCGCTCAAAAGAACTCCATGGTGTGAGAACTTGGTCCGAGACTCCGTATCGAACAGAAGAGCTTGAGCTTGATTTGTGATCACGGATAAACACCAATCTAACCGTACAACCTGATTTTCGGCACCTGAAAACCTGTATGATGTTGAGTATGTGGATGCCCTTAATCAAGGGTAGGATTCGTCCAAAGTCTGTACACGACGATTTACTCTTTGAATACTACACCCGCACGCATAGCAGACGGATAGGGCTGGTTCCTGCAGGGTATACATGGACGCGAGGTTACCCTCTTTGTGCCGCGTGCTGCGGGTGGAGGTTCCGCGAGGTGACTGGCGGCCTAGTCCCAGAGTACACCACCAGTACCACCACCATGACCTTGGGCTTATCTTCGATCGCCCGTTCTTTCCGAAACATATGAGACTTCCCAGTTGGAAGTTTCCGCTCTCGTGCCTTTTCGCTACGAGTAGAGTTTACGGGCTGGAGACGCCTTCCGAGAGTACCACCACCACCACCACCACAACCACGACCACGACCACGACCACAACCTGTGCTTCTTGATGGATCTCCCGTTTCTTGGCAAATACACAAGACTTGTCAGTAGGAAGGCTTACGCTCTTGTGCTTTTCCGTACGAGTAGAGTTCACGGGCTGGAGAGGCCTTCCGAGAGTACCACCACCACGATCAACCTTCCCTGTGTTTCTCTTCGATCTTGTTGTTCACGTTACAAGCGAGACTTCCCAGTAGGAAGTTCCGCTCTTGGGCCTTGCGCTACAGTACGAGTAAAGGTTTCGGCTTGTGGTGGTGGTACTCTCGGAAGGCTAGCGTCGCATTCGTCCTTCTCAGTGGTCTTGCGTACTTGACGAACACATGTAAAACCATAAAGACTTAACTACAATGTACAACCATAAAGACGAGAGGGATAGTTCTGCGGTAAGGGGTTTCCGCTAGGAACCCTTCTCATCATCACCGCCATCTTGGTTGCCCTAACGGATCTCGCATCCCATCCCTCTCACCGTTGTCCCCACATGCGCCTCGCCAATCTCATCAACCGGCTGTACTATTATAGTGCCCCCCCCCCCTGTCCGTCTTCCCTTTGCTCGCCGTCCTCAATTGCTCCTTTCCGTTTCTGTGCGCGATGATGATTCTTACCACCCGCCAAACAAACAAGACCGAGCTAGCTCGGCTCGAGACTACAGACGCCGCGGAAGGTGCTGCTGCCGCCGACACCTCCCAGACGGGGTAATCAAGTATCCCGGCAACGCAACAGTGGGAGAGTAGACAAGAGGGATGCTCCTGCCCTCTTGTTATTTTGTTGTTCGTTCTCCTGGTTGTACATTCAAAGCGTGATGGCGTGTACCGATGTCATCGCGGAAACTGCCGCTGCTGCTGCTGCTGCTGCTGCCGACACCGCGCAGACGGCGCCAATCAAGCAACCAAAACACGATGACGGGGGTGGTCTAATCAAACAAACAAACAACACAACAACCCGGCAACACAACAAGGAGAGTAGACTAGACTAGCACTTCGTAGATGATGGCTGTGCTCCACTTGGCCAATTTTTTATCCTTTGTTCGTCTTCCTGTCCTGTGGTATGTAGTCTAAGCGTAGTGGCGCGTGCTGACTTCTATTGCTGGTGACACTCTCGCCGCCTTGGTGCCGTTCTTGGAATAATTACTATAATCTAGGGTTTCCCCCCGGGATTTCCTGTGATGCCGTTGACAATCCGGTCCAGTTCATCCTGTAGCGAATTCCCTGTAAGCTCAGTTGCTGTAGAGAAGATCCTGTCCAGAGTCCGGCCGCATCGTATCGGTTCGACCCGGTGCGAACCCCGTTTTCGTAGAAAAATCATTTTTTATCGGGAAATTTTCTGGAAACCCTACTTTCAGCGCGAGCGGCGGTGTGAGCATGTCACCGCCGTGGTTGTGGTATTGTTGAGTAGCAGCTCGCTGTAGCAGAGCGCTTACAGCCATGGCGCGACAAGCACGAGTGAGGATGGCAGCCGGGCGGTACGCGGAGTGCATAAAACTCACCACGATCGTGCGTTAGTGGGTGAGGAAGAGACCTATTTCTCGTGCTTGGGATGTACAGCGTGCTGCGGGCGTGGCATATGTACGAGCGCGCCACGCGGGGCCTAGCGTGCCACACTCCACCACACTCTACAACGAATTTCCTCCGACGCTGTTAGCAACGAACTCCTCTCCTCCTTTGGTCTTGGCCCCCTGCAGATTTTTTTGCCTTTGTGGTGTGCTGTTGGAACTGGTGTCGGTTTGTCCCTCTGCTACCTTCATCCTACCGGAAATTTTGAGAGCCTGACCAAAATAATCTTGTCCCCAAACAAAAACTTCCGGTGCTAAGAAAAATAAGAAAAACTTCCGGTGCACATATTCCTGCTACAAGTTACCGCTACCGGACAAACGACCGCCTACCGGAAGTTTCTAGCCCATAGGGGAACCCCCTAATTAGCGTGGTTGGCTCGTGATCGCGGTCGATAGGAAGCTTTTGGTGCATGCAGGAGGGTCGGGCAAAGGTCTCGCTATTGAGAAGTCGATCCGACGCCCTCCGTCTCATGATATCTCTCTTCGAGTTTTTTGGGAGGAGAGAAAGGGCGTGTGCGTTCTTACTCATTATGCGGCAGCCTTCCAATGGGCGTAAACCCTTCCTCCCCGTGATGTTTGGTCTCGTGGCACCGCCGGAAATACAATGAATGTTGTTGTCGTGATCGATCCGGATCGTCGGGAAAGGGACTGTCGTGTCGTGATATTTGGAGGGGGCCCCAAAGGTGATTGTTGTGAAGAGGTGCGAAGAAGTTTCAATGTTGATAATTCGACCTGCTCCCATCTCTTTGGGACGAGGGCAGTTAAATTTGTCTTGTCTTGACGCCGCAGCCTTCCAACCAGTCCTCTGGGGTCTCGTGCACATCGCAAGTTAGAGTCCCCATCTGTCCTTTTTTTGGGGGGGGGTCATCATCCATGCCTTGGCCTTTACAGATCGTGGGGAGCACTTTTGTATTGTATCAAGGGAAACTTTTCTTGCAATGGCTTCGGTGAAGTTCCTGTGATTTGTCACTTTCGTTGTTCGGGGGGGGGGGCGCAGACGTCAAAATCTTTTTCCCCCAGGGGGGGGGAGGGTAGTTGACCGGTGTCGAGGCAGGGCCCAGCACTGCGCGCACATCTCCCTGTTGGGAAGCTGACGCGTTCGGGCCGCCCACCCTCACCAAATTCAATTGGCTTTATTGTTCTGGTTGGCGTGCATATCAGCCAGCTCAGCACTTTCCTGTCCTCTGCGCGTGTCTTCTTTTCGTGACTGTCACACACGAATCACTGTCCGCGCGGTTGGGTCGCGTATCGTCGATATTTTCTTGCAGCAGGGTGCTGCTCCATCAGCCAATGGTTGGTTGTGGTGCTACGGGTGTGACAGCCGGTTGAGAGGCAGGACCTGAATTTCTGAAGGCGACAGTAGGCTTATCCTTAGATTTGCCCGAAAAATTTTGAAATATGGCAACGCTATGAATTCGCTGTGCGTACTCTACATCCCAGACTCTCTTATCTGTTGAGAGAGACGAGTTCATTTCTTTCTTTGGGAAAAAACAGATTTTGGTGAGAAACACACCTTCTTTTTAGGAAACCATAACACAGACACAGAAAGACTACCCATTCGAGACAAGACTACAGTCGAATGGGATGTATTGGAGTCTTCACATAAAACAGCGAGCGGTGGATCCTGCGGGACGGGTGCGATGGCGGATGCGTGGCTAGGAAATATGCTCGATACGCCTCCACCAAATGGCATCGCGTAGCTGTTGTTTGGCGCGGGTGGTCCCTGAGATTGTCCGGCGTGGACGCATCCTGTCCAAAACGCCAGTCACTGTAATTGGTTCAGGTCGTGTTGTGCCTCTAGAACGATCGGCCACGCAGCAAGGCATTTGTAGGGCACGGAAGTACTCTGCGCGTGCGGGTAGATGATGGTCGCATGAAGCTCCGAACGGAAGGGCGGGGATGGAAATGCGAGCAGTAGTGCCGATAATGGGGGTTATGTAGCTACGTGAGTGATCATGAGTGAACTCGGGAAGGAAACGTCACTCGAATCCACACGGGTGGGTGTGACTTCCTTTTTGTCCCTCCCCGCCGTGCTCCCCCCCTCCCCCCCGGTGTTTGCCATCGGGGCTGGGTTTTCGTCGCTTGGCAACGACGTTGTAAAACAAGAAAATTCACTTCGTGAACTCGGCAACCAGGTTACCGTTCTTTTTTACCTCTCTCTGTTTTTTTTTCGGCGGTGGCCATAATGGTGGTCGAGTAGATCATGTTGTGCGGGGTCGAGAATCCCCACTCCGCACAAGGGGGATGATCGCACCACGTTGTGTTAAAATGGTCACGCACCCTCGAGGCAGCTACACAGTGCTTAGAACTGTTTCTGGAAGTGAAAGCACCAGAAAATAAATTCAGTCATACGCAGCTGTCATCCGTACGCAAGGAAGTAAGCACAAGATGCCGAACACTCTTCGCAGAATGCAGCGCACCCTTCATGCGACTCGCCGAATATCCCACGGCGCTTCGCGCTTGGTGATGTGAGAGCCTGGTCCGGTGAGAACCCGGCGTGCTCCGTCCCGGCTTTGTAGGGATGCGAGGTTAATGGTCTAACGACTGCGGCATGCACGACTATGAGGCCCTTCATGTGGGGGTCCTGGCAGAGTTTGCACCCGTCCGGGCAAATAGCTGAAAATTGTGCAGGCACGCGGGTAGTGGCGTGGGGGCGAGGAAGGACGACGACAATGTTTATTTCAACTCACAGAATGTCAAGATGCCTGTGGGACACCATTTACCGTGACTACGTGTGTGTGCGATCCATCGCATCCCCACATACTTCCGGAGCGCAAGTTTTCTGCGACCAAGATGTGAACAGCGATCGGAGCAAAGTCGGTCTTACCTCAGAGAACTACATGAGCAGAGAGGTGACAAAGGAATTGTGGGGGTGACGATCCGCACAGTAGTAGTGTGCTGTACAAGTACCTGCGTGTGTGGTGTCTGTCGCGTCGGTGTAGGTTCCGTCTCCTTGTGAACTCTGCCATATTTGAACAATTTATGTGCGTGTATATGCTTCGGTTTCCCTCGTTGGAGTATGTGTGACTCCGTTACGTCCAATGGAAGTCGCAATATACCAGACAGTCGGAGGTGACATCCACATGTAGAGCGGAATAAGTTGTTGGATTCGTATTCTTTAATTATGTCAGGGCCAGCCGGCCCGTCGGTTGACAAACCATTTTTGCGGTCCGCCACCTGACTGAGTGGTTTAGGCTGTCCGCGAGAAAAAGAGATCGGGACGATGACAACACCATATAAACTATGAAGTACATGAGACGATCACCGACTGTCGCTCTCTCTCGCCGTGTGGGCGCACGCTAACGCCGAAATTGCCCCCCGGCGGAGAAGTTAGATGCAAGACACCTCACGGCCGATTTCAAGGCTCGATGGCTCCACGACGAAAATAATGCTTTCATGAAACGGCGAGTTTGTATTCGGAAGGCTTTCTCTCGACGAGACGGCTTTAACGCCACCGTTGCCGGTGATGCCACCCTTTCTGCTCTTGAGAAATAGAGGCTGGAAAATCGGTCCAGGGGGGGCGATATCTGGTGTCACTTACAGTATGCGAGATAATCTGCAGGAATGAATCTTGTCGAAAGAAAGACAACAGTTAACGGCCGACCGTCAAGGGATGTGGCAATCTCCACAATCGCATGCATTTCGCTTGCCCGCAACAAAAAAAAAACGACGCTCCCAAAGCCAGGAACAAAACACGACTAACCTCGCCCCAGTGAGCCGCCGTGTACCCTCACCTGCCTTGAAGTACCGCCCAAGACAGCGGGGGTCGCAATTTTTGGTGTGTACCGGCTTGAGCATGACCTCTCGCCACTCCTTGTAGTTCGTGGCGAGTATCCAGCTCGACGGAGTTAATCAATCGATGAAAGAATTCGAGGGCCGACAAATCACCAGCAATATAGTCTGCAACATGTGCAAGAAATAAATTGCTTTGAACATTTTACATAGACTAGTCTACGCATAGCACGCGAAGCGGTGTAACATGACCACCATTCCCGTGGACGAATGTTTTCATAAAGTCGGAGTCAACCCGGGGGACAAAACGCGGATCGCCACGCGTTCATGACTGTCTGCGCCGACACCAAAGCCAACACTCTCGATTGTGCGATGAAACGCTCCTGCCTCGTCGCATCACTTCTGGCGCAGGAGGGCGAAGTCCGTTCCCAGGGCACCGGAAACACGGTAGTCCTCGGGAGTCCCGCGGTAGGCCTTGTTGCCCTTCATCACGGCGCGCCCATGCTCGTCAAGCACCGGGCGGGCCGTCTCTCCCAGAATCCCGGTCAACGTTTCGTTCTCGAGGGACAGGCCGGCGAGGCCGACGTCCATCTCCCACACATCGAGGTCGGGAACGATACGGCCGTCCATTTCCACGTGCCCCCCGGTCTGGTGGCCGATTCCGACGTTGAACCGCACGACGACCTCCGGTGTGATGATCTGGTAGATGGCTTGGGCGGACTGGACGTCAGACAGGTCCTTGTGGGCGATGTACTCGGTGCACCTGGCGTTACGGTCGATCGGCGGATAGGACACGGCAGGTAGAACGATCACGATGATGCATGCATGGCACCGAGCGCGTGCTTCCCATGCAGCTACGCACGCATACTTGAGATCACAAGTGAGTGTCGTCGCTCTCAGATCTAAGGCGACCATAGCATAGCCGTGATTTCGTAGTTCAGACCGTGGTCTCGTCGGCAGAGACGGGCTACGTAAGCCGATCAATGGTCGGTTCATTCACGGAATACATTTCCCAAACTTGCACACCGTTTGACTTGTGTAATGACGCTGTAATCGTTAGGCATTAATTCGTAGGGGGCAAGGAGCGCGTTCAAGCAGGTGAGCATGCTACTTGGTACCACCTCCTTGGACGATTTTTCGACAACGATTGAACCAGATGCATGCACGAACAAGCCACGCACTTATCGTGCTCCGGGCGCAACAAATGCTTCGTCACTTCCATCTCCTCTTTGGCTACGACATTCTGCTTGCGTGATGCTTTTCAGGCTGCTGCTGCGAAGCGGGGAGAGCGACTTACCAGTCGTGGGCTGCCATGTGCTGGAAGCTCAAGACCCATTCTTCGAAGGTCTCCGAAAGCAGATGACGCCGCCCCTCCATAATAGTGTTGGCGTAGTGCCGGGCCGAGATCTTGTCCCCGCCGAACTGCCAGCACTGTACCGGGAGGTTGGCGGCGGACACTTGGATGCCACCAGGTAGGGTCTCGTCCCTGGATGTAAGTATAGCAGGAGCAACATGCGCAACCAAGCGGGTCGGGACGCTGGTGACTGGCTTCTGCTTCGCAACGCTGCGATAGGACAAGCCTGGCTGATGCGATGGGCGACAAAAAACACTACGAAGTACATACTACTTTTGATAAGTAGAAGTCCTTCCGCGTACGTTTTGCTTTGATGCTTAAGGTTTGGGCTGTTTTGCGGCCCAACATTGGACCTTTTGTTGCGTTTGTTCGTTTTTTCTCCCTCAAGGTTGAGAAACACTAAACACGTACATTACGCTGTGTACGGCCTTTCGGTGGATGAAAGTACATGAAGTTGGGGAACACTTAACATACATATTTCAATTTTTCACAAATTTAAAAGAACCTTCAGGAAAAAGCGCGTCCACTACCGACTGAAAATGCACAAACCTCCATGCCTCAACGAGAACGACCCGGGCAGGCGCGCGGCACAGAGGGAAGACATCGGAGGTGAGGAGGCCCAACAAACAACCAACTGTTTTCATGAATAAAAGTGGGGTCGACCGTTTTCCATGACGGCACAGTCGAAAAAAACTACGCACGCGGCGTCAGACTAAACAGAGAGTGAGAATGAAGGCCAAACCGAGCGGTCCGCTACAGCACCCCAGCCTCACTGCGGTACTACTGCGATCGTTGTACATACAGCACCGTCATCATCGTGAGCAAACAACAGATATATTGTCCATTTATTTGTGGCCGTACTTGACCACAGAACGGAGGCGAGCCAAACGCACCCGCCCTATCTCTTACACACCCACCCGGCGAACGTCAACTAGAGAGAAAGGTACCGGCCCAACCATGCAATACCAACAAAGGAACTATTCAACCGCTTGTAATGATAAAAAGAAGGGATGATTTGCTCGGATGCACCTGGACACGCGACGGCTTCCCACGCTCTTACGCCGGTACGGCCCACAGGTTTTTTCTTCCACACCGATTTAACTTTACACAACAACGGCGTGAGCCCGGCGGCCGTCCCGCTCCAGACGCGTAGTGTCAACCATTACCGGGCTCTGCCGCGAGGGTGTCTGGTCGAGGACGACCCGGTTCTCGAGCAGAGGGACGATTATCTAAAGTGCGCCTCCTCCGACAAAACTGACAGTACTGCGGTAGTACCTGATGGTGTGCAATAGGGGAGAATCATCGGCTTCCTTCTCGCCATCCACGATGACGCTCAGTCCGCCGTTTGCCAGGCATGGTGCCGGCGCCCCGTCGGGGCAGCCCCCGGCCGTGTCAGTGTCGTAGGGTTTCGTCACCTGAGTCGATCGTTTGCCGCGTGTAACGGAAGGCTTTGGAAAGGTAAAGCAGTTCCTCCCAGGCAAAAACGATTCGAAACACCGCCTACCTACGAAGCTATAGAATGCGTACGTTGCGTCTGTAAAATCACGACTTAATTCATCAGCTAACGCACAAAGGACTTGATATCTCATGCCGAACCCCGAATGAACGCCGGGCTGCTAGTACACGACCTGTACGCCACGTCCCAGAATTGGATCGATGCGGTCGATAGATCCGATAAATGTGGGATGCCTTGACACGACCAGAGGAGATAACCCCCCGCGGGTGGGGTCAGTGATCGACTATCTCTCGGGTCGACGGGTCAATTCCGTTTCAAGCAAGGCTCCTATGTACCATACACGACAACGTGAACGCGCGACGAGTGAATGGGAAAAAAAAAAATCGGAGAGGTGAAACCAAACACTAACCTGTTGAGTAGTTTTTTTGGCCCGAGTTAACAAGATCAGGGGTCGGGAAGACGACAGGCTGCGTGCGAGTTGGTGTTCGACTGCAGTAGCTGGGGGTGGAGAAGCTTTGCGCCAAGTGAGACGGCGTCTTTCCGGAAAATGCCCCAGTAGAAACGCTTACTCATCAGACTACTGGGTCAGCGACTGGTCTTCCAATGAATGGAGGAGAGTGATCTCCGGGGCCGGACCCCTCGCCAGTCTTGTGATGGTGCATAAAAGGTGCACTTTGGCATAATAGCGTCGTAGCTGGGATTCGAACCCGCCTCGGTATCCTCTAGTCTGTTGTTAAAAAGGCTAACGCATTAGACTACTCCAGCGAGTCAGCGGCTGACTGGTCTATTGGTGCAAATATATCTGCAGTAATTTACCCATTGAAAAATCGAACAAAGGCATTACAATGAGAAAAAAAAAAATGACTCGCCAGAGGTATGTACTCTCGACGCACACCTCCACCACTCACACCTCCGCCTAAATAGTGCATTGCATCGAGGGCCGCACCTCGATAACCAGCGAGTGGCCCCCCGCCATGACCGAGAGTCCGGTGACCAGCTGGCGGTCAGGGAACTCTTCGGGGGGAGGTGCCGTGAGCCGCACGTTCACGTTCAGATCAATGTCAGGGTCTTGAACAAGGGAGTACCATCCACCGTCGATGCCAAACCAGTCGATGCTCTGGCCGAGCAGAACCGCGTAAGTATCAGTGCACCCTTTATCACAAAGTCATTCCTAATTACCAAAAGTCATTCCTAAGGTTGTTTCTTTTGATAAGCAGGGATTCGTCTCCTTGCGCAACGGCTCGGCTTGACCGGGAGCAATTCTTCTGGTGTAGGCAAGAGTGAATCGGAAATACAGCTGATACAACAAAAGATAAATCTGTGTTGGACCCGGTTTCGTCTTGCAGGTGCGGCGATGGGGTCGGACATTTTTCAGGCGGCGTATCAAAATGGGGAATGGAGAATCAGCCATATGGAAGAAAATATGGTGTAGGCATGTTAAACGCCAGCCTTGGGAGAAAAAAATTCACACAACGACACAACTTGCTGCAGTCGGATGCCCCGTTCTGGGCGTTCGGATTGTAGCACTCGTTGTCGATGGGGCAACAATCCAGTCCCACTGCGCACTCGGAGTCTTCTGCGCACTCGCATTCTACAGGCTTCAAGGCACCACCACACCGGTTGCCTTCATCCCAGAGTTTAGAAGTCGGCAAAAACGAATACCAGAGGATGGGACAGGTGCATGGGGTGGTGGAGTTCAGAAAATATGTGAACGAGGGCAGGAAGCAGGAAAATAAACCTGTCAGCTTCCGATTGTGTCCAGCCGTTCGGGTGTGCGAGTTATGAGAAATGGCGGAAACGTTTGTGATCAAAGGCGTCCGTCCCGCGCTTGCCTTGGTCGAAGCGATCACTTCGGTTTTTGGTTCATACCCAAGTCCAGCGCGTGACGGCGTCATCACGGGAGTTCACCCTGTGTTGCGTTCTGTCGCCATTTTTCGAAGTCTTGGGTGTACGGATTATGAAATCGCAATACTGAATGCCGAAATAAAAATGAATTTCGTTATTTGTTTAGGTTTTCGCTTTTCCCACCCCGCACTGCTCTCACCCTCACCCTGAGCGTGGACGTTGGCGACGTGCAGCAGAGGTAGGAGAAGCGCAAATGTTGATGGCGTCTTCATCGTAGGGAAGGTTTCTTATTTCCTGTGAACGTACCACACACCGACAGCGATGAATTGGGGGTGGGGGAGGAGTCACGAGACAGTGGAAAACCGCCGCATGATGGCAACTAGGGTACTTAATGGAAAATCCAAGGTAGACCCATGGATTTTCCTGGCACTCCATGTAGCTCCATGGCACTGCATTGGGTTCCATAGCACTCACCGATTGGTAGACTGCTGAAATGACACCAACGGCGAACCATGGGCATTTCGGTAAAAAATGATGGAATTACAGTAGTTTGTGTCTAGAAACAAGGCCAGAATGCGACAACGACATAATAATAAGTAAATCCACATACATACAGGCACGCACCAGGCTGCTAGACGTGGCCGGCCACACAGCAGGTCGGATGAAATAATGCAAAGCAAAAAAAGCACGGGGGTGGGAAGGGTACAGCAGGCAGACGAGACGGCGAGCAAAGGCAGGAAACGCGAAGAGGTGGACCGAGCGGCGCGAGTCACCGTGCGTGCCGAACCCGTACTTGACTTATCCCCCCCCCCCCTCCCCCCCCTTTTTCTTTGGTGGTAACCATAATAATGGTGGTCGAGTAGATCATGTTGTGCGGGGTGGAGAGCCCTCACTCCGCGCAAGGGGGATGATCGCACCACGTTGTGTTAAAATGGTCGAGAATCCTCGAGGCAGTTACACAATGCTTCTAATTGTGTCTGGAAGTGAACGCACCAGAACAAATTCAGGCATACGCAGCTGTCATCCGTCATCCGTACGCAATGAAGTAAGCACAAGATGCCGAACACCCTTAGCAGGATGCAGCGCACCCTTCATGCGAGTCGCCAAATATCTCACGGCGCTTCGCGCTTGGTGATGTGAGAGCGTGGTCCGGTGAGCACCCGGCGTGCTCCGTCCAGGCTTTGTAAGGATGCGAGGTCAATGGTCTAACGACTACGGCACACACCTGGACATGGTATCCTATTAGTTCATCCGCCTCTACTTCTTGCTACCCAGCATACACATACACATGCACACCGTCCACGATAAACATTCAATCTCTGTATCACGTAGTCAGCACTTCACACTCCCCTCACACCTCCTTGCACCTTGAGCAGGAGCACACGTGCATGCCGAGGGGTGGGTGGGCCTGGCGAAAACCGATATCATTTTCGGCACAACGCAACCGCCACCGGAAAAAATGCGTCAAGAGGAATTCACATCATCATTCCACGCGGTCGTTCCTCATGGGCTTCATGCGCGTGAGAGGACACGACACGCGTGAGTGAGGGGAAGAGGTCGACACGTCCGTCGGTCGTCGACACCAATACACTGTATAGCGCCCACGGGCTACCGCCCGCAGCCTTCTCGGCGAAAACAGCTTCGGCTGGGGTCGTTGCATTCCGTCATCATCGCTCTTCCTTGTCCCGACCCGACCCAACGCGAGAAACAAATACCGAGCGACACTCCAAGCTCTCAGCGATAGTCTAGATATACCAAGTAACCGCAACCGCAGTCGTTGGCTTCAACTTTGTCGGCAACTCTACGGATTCTCTATCGTATGTCGGCCCCTGGCAAATCTCGCCGACTTGATTACTCCTGAGGAGACGATTCAGCATCCCATTGTGGGTTACTGTGGCTTTCGCAACCGGGAAAACTCTGGCATCTCGGCACAACGTCGTCGACACGAGTACCAGCTGCGCAGTGTTGATGAACCACGACGTGTCGGAACCCCAGAGCTGTCCGACGGCGATGCTCATTATGTGCTCGCCCCTAACCTGGAGAGCAGCTGGAAAAGTACGGTTGGAGAGGGAGATGTTACGCTAGGCCGGGATATGAAGGATAAAGGTCGTCATTTGGATGGGAATCGTGTTTCTGTGCAATCTCCCGAATGTCAACACCAGTGTTTTACGTTCTCGAAATCACAACCGACTTGAAGAGCGCTGGAAGCCGGTAACGCAGGCAACCGTAGCATGGATGCCTCATCGCGGTGGAAGCGCAAGGCGCGTTACAAAAAGTGGTGGACTACGGTTGGTTTCGTTGCCACGTACAAGCGAATAGACCGTGACATGGGGTTCAACAGGGCAGAGGGATATACTCTGAACGAAGACATGATTAGAGGCGAGTATTTTCCGGGCATGTCGAAGAAGTTCGACCCTTCAAAGTAGGTTGGGCATGCTGGGCTATGTTGCCGGGTTACGGTGGATCATCCTACGTGGTCTTCTTTGCGGTGACAACGGCACAACTAACTTGCATATGATGGAACATGAGGCTCTCATGGAGGTGTGAGACATGGTCGCACAATATGAGCTAGCCTGAAACCACACAAAGCCTTCGAGCATGAACCTGCTACCTGTTCATCGTGAACTCACAAAGTCAGGGCGATACGTGGCGACGCAGTCGCCCCGCGGGATGGGAATGGTAAGAAAAGGCCGCTTGTTCGTGAGCTCTGGCAACAGTACTTGCCGTGCGGACTTGGGGCTGCTGTTTTACTGCTTGAATTAGCACGCGATAGAGAAGGCACGAAGGGAGAGAGAGCGGAAGGAGAGAGTGCCCCGAACTCACGAGAAAAACGGGGGCTCCGCGCTCTCACCAAACTGTCTCGCCACATACCTCTCCAGGTATATCCTATCTGCGTCCTACGTAACGGCTACTTTTGGCTTGTCTACTCCTACGTACGATCACCCTCCCTGGTTCTTTGCACCATCGAAGAGCCGCTCGTGCGTCGGAACTATGCCAAATAGCTGAAACACAACGAAGAAAATAAAACCAAGGGGAAACCCGACCGCCGGATCAAAACCCCTCGAAGTCCAACGCCTCAAACAAAATCAAACGAACCGTCCATGTCATCTATGATTCCAACGGCTGTACTGCAAGATCAAAACAAAAGCGACTTACACCAAACATGCGGATTACGATTTTCTAAGCAACGCTCTACTCTCCAACCACGAGGTACGCTCCTGGCAAAATCCTTCTTGAATGATGAAACAAGATCCTTGTGCAGCACCAACACTGATTCGTGTATCACACACATGTACGGGCAACGCCCTCCCTGCCTAACTGCATTCCGCATCAAAACTTCATCAGACAGGTACGTTCTCCCTCTTTTGGGATCAACCAAGCGCGATCCACCACCAAATCAAAACCACAAACATCCTGTTTCTGCTGAAGAACAAATCAAACACAACCGGTTTTCCACGAAACCCATCTTCAGAAACAAAACGTCAAGCCTCCTTCAAACAAGGCCCGCAATCTGCAAACAGTCAAAAACCTCGATCTTCCTTCAACCAAGAATGCATCAACTTGCGATTGAACCTTCATGAACTACGCATCAAATATGGTGGCAAATTCTACCAACGTGCACGTTTTCATCCCCCCCCACTTTGCTACCATCACCGACACACCTGTCACCGATATGAGCCCTCGACACAACAAGAAAAAATGGTCAAGAAGCTCAAAGCGTACATCACGATGAATAACGACAACACGTATACGTGAGAATTACCACTGGATTCGGCAACCAAAAACAAAATTACCGTCAAAAGAAACGACAAAAAAAAAACGAAACAAGATCAAGAACGCTTGAAAAAAGAAAAACACAAGAAAAAATTATCAAGCTTGCCCATCCACTCCACCAGTTCCAATCGTGAAGATGAAGCGCGCCCTCGATCGTCCACAAGTCGATCCTGCCGATCCCGATCTCCATCCTCCCTTCCCGGCTTATGAAATGCGCGCGGCGACTCTCCACGCGACTTTGATGACACCGCCATATCGCTGTGCCCCACCCCAAATGCCCACCTCCGGCTGATGGTTGCGCGCCACCTCCGCGCGACAAAACATGCTGCCCCCCCCCGCTCCAACGACGAGGCAGAACAGCCACGGCCCGTCCGTCCGTGCTGGGTTGCGCGCCATCTCCGCGCGACTTCAAGTGCTACCCCCCCGGCTCCAAACGGCAAGGCAGGACAGCCACGGCCCCTCCGTCCGTGCTGTGGTTGAAAAATGCCGCCCGCTTCACGCGTGATGCGGCACCCACCCCCCGACGCGCCGTCGCGCGTGTCAACCGTGGTAGGGCGTGCACGGCCACTCTGCCGTGCCTGTGATCAACTTAGAGAAAACATCGCCCGCGTCAAGCGAGTGCGGCGCCCACAACCCACACGCCGTCGCGCGGTCAGTCCATGGTAAGGTGTCTCCGGCTATTCTGCCCAACGGTCACTCTACCGTCCCTGCTTTCCACCGACTCCTATCCCGCAGATGGAGTGCGCACCGTCAATTGTGCGACTTTCATGGCCCCTCTGTCCATGCTGTGCTTGCGCGCCACCTCCGCGCGACTTCGTCCGGCCCCCCCACCGCAAATCAGCGGCGCTGAGGGCCTACGGCCAACCTGCCGTACCGTATTAGCAACACCACCTGTCCACCCTAGAAACTTTCAGTTATCACTTCCTGCACCTTTGCTTCCTTCTCGTCTTCGGTCAGCTTCTCCCAACTAGGATCCATCTTGCACAGTTCCTCCGCGCGGTCGTACTGCTCTTCGAAACTCACCACCGCGAAGTTGGCATGCTCCACTACCGCCATGCACGCTTCCTCCGTGGGTGTCGCACACTTCTCGCTGTTGTGCCCAAAGCCCGAACACGTGTCGCACTGCTCCAGGAAGTCCTCCTCCTTCGTGGTGCAGTCGGGCTTCCTATGCCCGCGGTGGTTGCACCGGAAACACCTCCGGTGGTCGACCCGGTCGTCCGTCCCCGCCTTCTTCTTGCTGCCACGGCCGTTGCTCTTACTGCCGCGGCCGCCGCCAGCCTGCCGCCCCTTCCCGGTGCCGTCACCCGCAATGTACGCCTGCTCCCCCCCGGATCCTTTTTCTCCTTCCTTCCTCCATTCCTCGGTGAGAAGGTTAAATCGGGTTGAGAGCTGTTGTACAAGGATATCCCTCGTCAGCGGTTGGACCACCGACAAGGTTTGCTTGGTGACTTCGTATTCGGGGTTGGGCAGCGAATCGATAAGTCGGGCGAACACGAACTGGTCGTTTACCGTGGCTCCGCCCCCTTGCCGCATCATGTTGGCCATACCCATGAGCTTGTTCAAACTGGCGACGGGGTTCTCCTTCCGAGGAGTCTGGTACTGCTGGAACTCTCTGAAAAGCTGCTGCTGTGCACCCTGTGCCTCCGACAGGTATGCCGCATCTAGTTGCCGCAGGGCTTCCCTTGGGTTCGTGGAGCGACGGAAGATGGCTTTGTCCGTCTCAGTAGTCAACGCGGCAGAGAGGAAATTCCACGCCAGATACGTCTTGCGGATTGCTGCATACGAAAACCCCTGCTCGAGAAGGGCGGTCTGTGGCTTGTTGATGTCCGGCAGCACCCCGCCGCCGGAGAACACATCGCCTATGTCGAGAATGCCTGCCTGCACGATCATATCCTGCCTCCACCCCGGGTACTGCTCGGCCCCTTTCTTGAGCTGTGGTGGGTTTACGTGAGACGCGGCGAGTTTCGAAATTCCGCCGCCTCCCGTGAAAAGACCCTCACCAGCGGCATCACCGCTGACGAAAACACCACCAACGCCACCGCCGGTTGCGGCTGCTTCACCTTGGGAGCCATATTCTCTGCCGTAGCCGCCTACACCCACTGTGCCCGTCGCGGCGGACCCCTGGCTGCTGTTCGGGGCGGCAGCGTCACCGCTGGCCCCTGTCGATGCCCCTACGTCACCGCCGGACTCCACCTCCTGCTGAACACCTCCAACATCCAACGCTCCCCTCATCAACGATGGAAGTTGGCTTATCACCTGGCTCATCATGGCTTGCATCCTGCCTTCCATCGCTTCGCCTAGCCGCTGTTCCATACCAGTCAACCGAGCGTCCAGTTCAGCGTCGTTGACGCTGGCTGCTGGAACCCCGGCGTCACCCTGATTCAATGCCATGGTCCGCTCTGTCAAAGCAGATCTTCCCGGGAAGAAGCGCTAGCGTGTTCGTGAGCTCTGGCAACAGTACTTGCCGTTCGGACTTGGGGCTGCTGTTTTACTGCTTGAATTAGCACGCGATAGAGAATGTACGAAGGGAGAGAGAGCGGAAGGAGAGAGTGCCCCGAACTCACGAGAAAAACGGGGGCTCCGCGCTCTCACCAAACTGTCTCGCCACATACCTCTCCAGGTATATCCTATCTGCGTCCTACGCAACGGCTACTTTTGGCTTGTCTACTCCTACGTACGAACACCGCCGCAGGGTGAAAATAAATGTGTTGGGCTTACCATCAGCTTTGATTGATGGAATGGGATGTGATGAGTTTATATGTGAATGCCATGGGATGGGATGGGAAAGGGATTGCGCTTGACGCTGATGGGATGGGATGGTATTTGCCAATCCTTCTCGCTGGGATTGCACGGGAACTGATGGATGTTTCCATGGGCTTGGATGGATACGTTCAAGAAGCGTTGGTAGGATGGGATGGTAACCCCTCAAGGGTTCGCTGGTGACGGTGATGGTTTGTGTCAAACGTTTTCCTGACTTTATTTCCTGCTAATGGCGAGGGAATCCCAGATGGTCAGCATATTCGATAAAGTTACACCATTAGATAGACTAGTAAGCGCTGACATAGTAGTCTAATGGGGTAAGCCTTTCTAACAAAAGATAAGTAAGCGCTGACATAGTAGTCTAATGGGGTAAGCCTTTCTAACAAAAGATAAGTAAGCGCTGACTTAGTAGTCTAATGGGGTAAGCCTTTCTAACAAAAGATATGCTCTCAGCTCGTAGCCACCCGGCTGGTCACTGGGATTCTTGTAGGTAGAGATCTCCGTGGACGGACCCCTCGCCAGGCGCTGCAGGAAAAGAAGTAAGGGTCCTTGTGAAAGTGATCAGCCGGGTTTCGAACCCGTGCGTATATCCTTTGTTAGCAAAGGCTTACCCCATTAGCCTACTCAGTCAGCGCTAACTGGCCAGTCAGTCTAACGATTGGCGACTGAAGCATACACACACGAGTGCAAATACCGGCTGGATCACTTTACTTTGGAAGAAAAGTTCACCTAGAACTATCAGCGTTCGGCGAGGGGTCCGTCCTCGGAGATCCAAGCCATACAGACCCAAGTGATGCAGCCGGGTGCAAACGAGCTCTGAGCATATCTTTTATTCGATAAAGTTACACCATTAGAGCAGTCAGCGCTGACTTAGTAGTCTAATGGGGTAACCCTTTCTAACTGTTCGATATACTCGTAGCATAGCATGGGGGTGGTATATTGCGTATACATATGCGGGATTTGCAGTGACGAACTACGGAGGAACAAGAGGTTTCTTTATGTTTTCCTTGGGAGTGTGTTAGATTGGTGGACGTTCATGGAGATTCGTTTTGGGTGTTTGAGCGTTATGCGTGACTTGATGCCGTGATGGAATGACGAGCTCAAGCACGCCCCCGATTAATACAACACGTTTTTCCACACGTCTGTACGACATTACCTACCCCTACGGCCCGTCATGGCCGAGCTGCTCTACACTCCCATCGCACACAACTGAGCCACCCGAATTATCGATCACGCTAGCGTATGACACGTCGTCTACGAGATTCGCGTCGAGCTTAGTTTGGAGTATCGCTTTGCGGCGATCAGCAGCTGTCACCGATGTCCAGCGCCGACCAAGAACGAGGCGCCCGTCACGCAGAAGACGAGGACGCCCGCATCAACGAGTTGGTGGAGATGAGGGTACAACAACGACTGGCCGACATAAGGCGGCAACAAGACGAGGAGGAGCAGAGGACAGAGAACGTCCGGACCGGAAGCGAGCACGAGGCACGCCACCAGCAACAAGCGGGGCGGCCATCGGCGAACCCGGCCGTAGATGACATCGCCCGCACTCTCGCCGACGCCCTGACCAGCCGCCTGCAGATATCACCCGCGGACACGGGTAGAGTATCAAGTAGCGCAGCGACCCTTAGAATGACTGAGGTTAAGCGCCTAGCGCATTGGGATGGGATTTTTAGGTAAGGGGAAGATGAGCAGGCAAGATTTAGATTTTTCGATCGAACATGATTGCTATGTTTGCGCAATAAGGAGTCAGGGAAGTGGTATTGAGTGACCACAGAATTCCTGTCGGGCTCGAAGGAATAGACATGGAGGACTTGCGTAGGATGCACTCGCCTGATAGCGTAGAGAAGGCAATTACGGCGTGGAATCTGCTGATCACGTATACATGCCTATCCTCACCCAGATCATCGCTGATGGTATAGTCCAAGTGGAGGTTGGAAAATATTCTTGAACGATTACGAGCCGCGTGCCAGAGCCGAGAAGGAAAGGTTGTCATCCCAATACCACGGTCTTGAGATGAAAGTAGGAGAGGCCCCCCAAGAATACTTCGGGAGATATTCTGTTTTGCGCAGTAGGCTACCCTCGCACGGTGTTATTTTCTCCGACGAAGATGCCAATGCCCACACCACCTTTCCGACGAGTACACGATGGAGAAGAAGATTCTGACTATGTCACCGATTACCCCCTCGCGCGAAAAAATCGAAAAGGGTGTTCGAGATGCCCATGCGGAATTGCTTCGCCGTCGGGAGGAGGAACCAAAGAATGGCGCGGGGCACGCGTTCGTCGCTTCCGGTGGCATCCGGGGCGATGGACGTGTCCAAAATGGGTCGAGTGGAAACGGCGGGGGACAGGACGGAGACGGAGGCGCCCGGAGTCGGAGCAGGAGCAGAGGGAGAGGAAACAAGAAAGCAGGAGAGAGCGGAGCCGACAGCGACCACTGCTACCTACATCCGCACTTGTCCCACACCAACGCCCAGTGCCTCACTCAAGGCGACCGTCACAGCAGCAGCAGCAGCAGCAGCAGCAGCAGCAGCAGCAGCAGCAGCAGCAGATGCGTTCGCTTTCGGTTTCGAGTGATGTAGGCAGTGTCGCATGTGGTCATCTTGCTTTTGCTTTGTCTGCCCAGAGTTGCGAGGACAGTCCTGGTAGGGAGGTATTTTGGTCGGATAGCGGTGCAAGCAACCATTTTGTGAGTAACAGCTCCAAAATGTACTACATCTCGCCTGTTCCCCACGGCAAAAAATACATCAGAGTAGGCAATGGTGCTCATCTGCGCGTGGAGTGTGTGGGTAGTGTCAATCTGGCATTCCGTACTGCAGGAGGCCGCTCGGGAGAAGTGGATTTTTGTGTCCAATTGACAGACGTGTACGTAGTGCCAGGAATTTCGTTCAACTTGTTCTC